AAATTCTTAATTATGTAAGGGATTTATTTTTTGGCAATTGCTAAAATCATTTAAAAAAAAGAATTATTATGAGAAAATTGAATTCTAAAAAATATGTGTGTGTATTTTGTAAACATTTATACTCAAAATTTTATTTTGAATTTCATTACATAAATAAGACTACTTATATAATTTTTATAAATAATAAAATAATAATTACATTATGACTGTAAATTTTATAATAAAATAATAATTGAGTATTATATGGTGAAAAATAATTAATAAAATTTTTATTTTTTCCTATATCAATGAATAAATATGTATTCTCAAATCAAATAAATAGTAGTATGACGTGTTAGCGGAATTATATATTAATTAACATGTTAATTTTTTGGCTTAAATAAACGTCACTTATTAAAATATGTGAAATATGGATGATCCAAACCTATTGTTTTTTTGTCTAGACGTACAAGTTCTATAAAAATAATGGATCATTTATTATATGTATCACGTGCATCGCACGGGGTATGCACTAATAAATGACCTTAAAATGGTGCACCCCGTGCATCACCCGTGTTCACATTTTGACCTATTACAGGTCGCGTACTATAAATATCTCGTACATTTTTTTTTATTCATTTATATAATTATTAGAATGGATAAATAACCTTAAAATTGTGCACCCCGTGCATCGCACGGGCTCTGTACTAGTGTCTGTTAATAAACCAATTACATTGTTTTAGACAATTCTAGTGTAATTAATTTATTTGTGATTATAATATCAAGAAGTTTTCTAATTGTTAGAAATTGGTGCTTTTAACAAATCAACTAGAAGGTTCTAACATGTCGGTGTTGTTTTATTTCAACAAAAGCTTACACTTTTCGCTAATATTTAATACATTAGTACAAAACTTGTGTATTACACTTGTTTTTGTTAAAAAATTATTCTTAAATTTTAATTAATGAGTAAAAAGTGTTTTAAAATTCGAATACCTTTTGCAGAAAATATATATTGTTTTATATTTAAGAATTACACTTGTTATTTGTGCGACTTACATGTGTTATGTTATAATAATTTTTCTAACTTATACAATATTACTTTAAATTTACATAAAATTTATAGTTAATATTAATAATTAATTTTATTATTATCATAAATGTAATATAATTTATTTATTTTATCCATACAATATGGATATCAAATCGAAGTTGATCAAAAAATGATTAATTTGAAAATATCATATATATAAAAACTGATAAAGAAACACAAAAGTTATTAATGTAATTAATTCACAATTCAATGGTTATAATAAGAAATGATATTAAAATTCAACTAATACATCTAAAATATCCATAAATAATCAATATATTTATGGATAATCTGGACTTAATTATTTTTGGATTGAAAATAAATTAAAATCTATCTAAGCCAAATAATGAAGCATGAAATCTTGTCAGATAAGATCAAGAAGCATGCGAGTCTACTACTTAGCTTCAACACATTCGAGAATTATATATACGGAGGAATATATTACTAGAAAACAGAACATGATACCCTTAACCAAGAACCCTTTGGTCTATCAAATGAAACACAAGCTGAACTGCATTGGAGCATTCACATTCATTCTCTCTCGGCCAACATAAGACGTTGAGTTCTTCACGAACAATGGTCTGATGAAGCCTATGTTACCCGAACGTCTCGTGACAGGACAGAATCTAGCTAGAATCTCGGTTACATCCTTCTTCTTCTTCACATTCTTTACATTATTTGCAGGAGTCAAGGGTACAAGTGGGCTTAACAGGGGCTCGGGCTTTGGTTTCTGAATAATGGGAACATAAAGAGCTTTATGTATCTCATCCACAAGCGCAGTCTCGCTGTCGAATAAATTGGCAGATTCGAAAAACATCTGAAATACTTTCATGCTCGACAAATGTATGTGCCTGAACGACTCATTCACGTCCCCATCCATGTACACGTGCTCGACAAATTCCTTTCTTATATCCTGAATTATACCTCTGACGTAGGCAACTGAATCAGCTACGCTCGTGCTCGGGTTTTTATCCAAATGGAGCAAGACGTAATTCAGTTTTCCATCTAGCTTTTCTTTCTGAAAAAAAAAAAAAACATATAAAAATGTTATGCTTTGTTAAAAACGAGAGAATCTTGAGACATAGTGTGATATTTATTTCGTTTAAGTACTTCATAGCTCTGTGTGTCGTTGGCCAAGCGCGAAAGGGACATGAGCAATTTGGTGATGACGTGATATTTCGGGTTCGGGTCTGGAGATCCGTTTGTGGAGTTTTGGGTTAGGAAATTAGTGGCGGGAAGAGCAATCGTGTGAGCTGCTATTGAAATCATGCCGGTTAAAAGATATTCGTCCATGGACGGTTTGTAACCGGTTAGGCTCCATCTTCTCTCCACCATCCACGACTCAAAGGTTTCAATCCACTATCAGAAAGCAGAGTCAATCATGCAGCAATGAGTTTTTCCAGTAGTATAACTATTAAGAGTAATTTGTAAAAATACGAAAATATAGCATTGAAATAAAATCGTCGAAAAATGAATTTGTACAAACTTACAAGGTATCGTAATTTCGTCACAACTTTGGTCCTCTCTTGAGGGCCGTAAGAGCATGCAGCTATTTCATTCAAAAAGTCATCAAGAGCATCAAATATTGTCTTGCCATGCCCCTCTAATCCTCTGCTATCCCATCTGCAAATGTATATGCTTTGTTGTGACGGAAACAAAAAGTCTTACTCCTTAAACCATATATCTATAAGTAGGTAAAATTTTCGCCCGACCTTCTAATTGCATCGGTCAAGGCTTCCAGCTCTGTCAAAGAACCTTCCATATCGTAGAAGTCATCAGCAACAGTGACGATTATGGCAGCCTTTGCTGCAACCGAGCGCATGTTTGAATTCAAAGGAAGGCAACTGCTAGCGGCCGTTACGAAATATGAATAAACCGTCTTTTCCCTCCCAAAACCCATCTCGCTAAGTCGCCATTTCTTGGACCAGCTGCATACATTTTTCCATATATAAAACCAGAGCTTATTACTAAAAACGTAACGGTAAGGTTAAGGTAAATAAACTAACACATATAATTCGCAAAAGGGTATGTATACCCTTTAAGTTCCTCCAGCTCTCGTCTGTATATCATTTGTCGAAATTCATAGTTTTCCACCGCTAGTTGTAATAGCTTTTTGTTCATGGGGCCGGATAACCTGGTACATATATTCAAATACCATGTAAAGAAAAATTTATTTTCTCCTAAATCAAGAAAAAAATTAAATAACTAAAATTATGTATATACCGGTAGAATGAGGGCGTCCCAAAGCACAGAGGGCCAGTTATACTCTCTTCGATCCACTTCCTGTGGTAAAGATGATTGAGACGAGCAGTCCACGGAACGCTCAACTCATACTTAATCTACATTAAGTAATATTTATAGTGAGTCACAAGAAAACAAAGGTTATATCCAAAATTTGAGGTCCAACTGCAATTTACCATATTCTGAAGTCCCTTCGAACAAAATAAATTGGGATTTGTCGTACTTATGTTTTCCAGTAATTTTCGAGCAAATATTCTAGCTTCTTCCATTTCAGCCTCTCCCGAAAACTGTAAATCAGTGGCTCTGTATACATTGTACATTGCGCTAGTGAACCTTTCCGAATTTTGTTCAATGCATGCCATGATTTCGGGTTCATGCAAAAACCAGCAGAAGCTTCCTGTATATATACGATTCGAGCAATTTCAATATTTTCCGTTAACAACATATATGGCACTATACTGTGAGCTAATATAATATACCTGGATTTACCGAATACCCCTGCATTCGCAGAAGCCGAAAAGCCAATGCATCTTTGAATAACTTTCGGACAATGTCCGTCTCTGTCCTATCTGGTTTGTTATAATCCTTCTGATTACTGAACAATGTAAGAAATACATGTCTATAAGATGTTTTAAATAGCTCGTGCCTCGTAGGCTGTCTCAAAAATAGTAAGAGCTAATGGTAAGTCTACGTACCTATAAACTTGTGCAAGGATTTTCTCAATATCTTCGTTAAAATGCTCGGCTAGACCTAACCCTTGTAAGTGATCCACAATGCATAGCTTAACTAGGTCTCCATCGACAGGATATTTCGAGGGTACTGCAAAATTACGTACACATTATTGGGAAATGTTGACCGCCATTAATGAGGCTAAAGCTTGAATAAGAAACAAAGCAGCTAAACTTTAGAAATGCAGCAAAAGGTTTCTTATCATTAGAATAAGAATGGTAGGCTAGAAAGCTATTACATTTATAGGCTTATCTAAAACCTAAAAGTCTAGCTAGGGTTTTCCTAGTGACCAACGGTCGAGATGATGATCAATGGCTCTAAAAGCCTAACAAGGGTCTGTGGCCCAATCAGCATCAGCAAAGGCCATTATATGAGAGGGAGAACTCCTGTGAAGTTGCAGCCCATGTTCCAAGCTCCCAGCTAGATATCTGAAAATTTTCCTCATGGTTTTCCAATGTGTATCAAGTGGACAATGCATGAATTGACTGAGCTTGTTGACACTAAAAGCAAGCTCTGGCCTAGTCACTGTGACAAATTGGAGACCTCCAATCATGCTTCAATATAAGGTGACCTCATCTATTGGAGAGCCTTCTGATTTTGAGAGAAGAGGATGAGTGTTCATTGGGACTGTGGAGCCCTTAGCTGCTTGCATGCCAATTTTGACTAGTAGCTCTTGAATGTATCTCTTTTGAGAAAGAAATAGACCATCTGAATTGTGAATGAATTCAATGCCCAAAAAGTAATGGAGCTGTCCAAGGTCTTTGACTGGAAAATGGGTCTTTGACTTGAAAATCACTGTGTCAACTTCAGAGGTGGATGATCCTGTAATAATGATGTCATCTACATAGGCCATTATGATGGTTGTAGAAGTAGGAGTATGTTTATAAAAAAAGACAAGTGTTAGATTTAGCAATGCAGAAACCCAGAGATTTAAGGACTGAAGTAAGTTTATTTGACCATGCTCTTGAAGCCTGTTTGAGGCCATAAAGTGTTTTGTGAAGTTGACAAACAAGTGTGGAGTCATTTTGGTCCTCAAACCCAGGAGGTTGAGCCATATACAAATCAGTGTCCAAGTCTCCATTAAGAAAAGCATTTGCCACATCTAATTGTTTGATAACCCAGGATTGAGAAAGTGCTAGAGTTAGTATAACTCTTATAGTGGCTGGTCTTACCACAGCACTAAAAGTATCTGTATAATCGAAACCTGGAGTTTGGGAGTATCCTTTAGCTACAAGCCGAGCTTTGTACTTTTCAAGAGAACCATCAGCCTGAACCTTGGTTTTAAACACCCATTTGCAGCCTATCAATTGCTTGTGAGGAGGTAGTTTGGTCAGAGTCCATGTGCCATTTTTCTGAAGAGCTTGAAGTTCTTCAAGCATGGCTTGTTTCCATATTGGATTGTTGAGAGCCTCTTGAACATTCTTTGGTTCAGACAAGAAATCTTGAGAAACAGTGAGAATTTTTGGTTTGTATATACCTGCTTTTGACCTGGTGATCATGTGATGGGTGTCTGCAATCTCAGTATTAATGTTAGCAGCAGGAACAGAAGAATTCTCAATTGGTAATTCTACTATCAGTCTACCACCTTGATTAAGGTTGTGGATAGGAGATTGAGAAACAGATGATGGGGATGAGGTGTTTGTGAGATTTTGCAGCTGGGATGGAGATGATGGTGGAGATGAGGGTAAAGAAGATGAAGAAGAAGATGTGGATAAGTTTGGAGAGTCATTGGGAGGTATGTTAATGATGGGAGGAGAGGATATGGGTTATGACTGAGGTAATGATGTGGATGAGGGGTTTCTGTGATTCTGGAAAAGAAAACAGGTTTCATTAAAAACAATGTGTCTAGTGATCAGAAGTTTTTTGTTAGGTAAAAGGACTTTGTAGCCTTTGTGAGATGGGTTATAACCAAGGAAGGTCCCAGAAATGCTTTTAAAATCTAGTTTAGAGGTGTTGTAAGGTTTCATGTAAGGAAAACATTGGCATCCAAAAATTCTGAGAGATGTGTAGTCTGGTTTTGAACCATTGAGGAGTTGAAATGGAGAGACAAAGTTAAGGACTTTTGAGGGGGTTCTGTTTATGTGATATGTGGCTGTAACAAAAGCTGAGTCCCAATAGATTTTAGGAACATTTGAGTTGGCAAGAAGGGACAACCCAACCTCTACTATATGTCTATGCTTTCTCTCAGCTAGCCCATTATGCTCAGGTGTATAAGGGCATGACATTCTATGTTTAATGCCCTCTTGAGAAAAAAAAAATTGATAAGGCTATGAACTCACCACCTCCATCACTTTGAACACTCTTAATTTTTTGCTTATACTGAACCTCAATTAACTTCTGAAAATGTTTAAAAGCCTGAGTGGTATCTGATTTATTCTTGAGAAGGTAAACCCAACTATATCTAGTGGCATGATCAATAAAGTTCACATAATATCTAAAGCCACTAAAAGATCTTAAGGGAGCTGGTCCCCAAAGATCAGTATGAATGAATTCAAAAGGGTTGCATTTGTATTCTGAAGCATAGAAAGGAAACTTATGAAATTTAGCTTGCAAACAAGGAACACAAAGAGGATTTTCATTACTCAAACTGAAAGGAATATTACAACCATGAAGAGCCTTTTTGACAATGTCATAACAAGGGTGGCCTAGCCTGTCATGCCACATTTCCAAACTATCCTCTTTCTTAATTACTACAGAATTAACTGAAATCTCTCTCTTATTCTTGACAGCTGCATAATCTTGGATGGGAGATGAATTCTGGGATTTCTTGGAGAGGTTGAATCTATATAAGCCATGATCAAGGATTCCTTGCAATAGAATCTTGCCTGTTGATGGTTCCTTCACAAAGCAAACAGAAGGGTGGAATTCAAAAAATACTTTATTATCCATGGCAAATTGGCTAACACTAATCAGGTTCTTGGTAATCTCAGGGACATGAAGGAGATTTTTTAATGTAAAAAGGTTTTTAGATGGTGACTGAAAAATAGAATTGCCATAATGAGATATTTTCAAACATGTTCCATTACCAACTTGCACTCTTTCTCTTCCTTGGTAATCTGCAGCTGAGTTGAGATTGGCTAGGTCATAGGTAACATGGCTTGATGCACCAGAGTCAGGATACCAGCTATTTGCATCAAAGGAACTCTGAAAGTCATCATCCAACTGAGCAACATTGACATTAGGACCTCCTCCTTGGTTTTGATTAGAGTTGTTGTTGTAATTGTTCCTGTTGCTGGGATTAAAATTGAGATCTGTCCTGAAGTAGCATCTCTCAGCAGTGTGGTTGGTATAGTGGCAGATTTGGCATCTTGGTTTGCTATTATCATAGCCTCTACCTCTTCCTCTTGAATTTGATCTGCCTCTTCCTCTAGACATCTGATTCTGGGGGAAAGATCTACCTCTTCCCCTAAAACCTCCACGGTTTTCTTGACCTTGTGTAACCATATTGACTGAGAAGCTGTTACTCTCACTATTTGCACTAGTTTGGCTCTCAGATCCTTCTAATCTAGCCTCAAAGCTTAGCAACACAGAATATGCTTCCATTACAGTGCAAGGTGGAAACTTAGTGGAGAGAGAAACAAGAACTGGATTGTATTCTTGAGGAAGTCCAGCCAAGATATATAGCATGTGATCTCTGTCACTCACCTTTTCTCCTGCAGATCCCAACAGATCACAACAAGTTTTGATCTTGTTGAGGTAGTCTTTCATGGATAAACTCTCCTTCTTGATGGTCTGGAGCTGCAACCTATATTGAAGGATCTTTGCATGACTTTGGCTGGCAAAAGTGGACTCTAGGCAATCCCATATTTCTTTTGCTGTGGTTAGGCCCATTGTGGTAACAAGTACACTCTCAGTGACCGAGGATAGCAGCCATGATGCCAAAAGTTGATCTTGCCTTGTCCATAGCAGATAAGCTGGATTTATGGATCTATCTTGGGTGATAGGATCTGTGAGAAATTCAGATGGGGCTTTTTGCTCTCATGTGATGAAATGTTCTAGGACATATCCTCTAATGGCTGCTAGAACATGCTGTTTCCAGAGAAGGTGATTTGATTCTGCTAACTTAACACTGATGAGTTGGGATTAAAGAAATAAAGGCTGTTCATTGTTGTTTGTTTGAGACGGTGTGATTTGACTAGCCATGGTTCAGAGAAAGAGGAATAAAAAAAAGGGGCGGTTCAGAGACAGGCTTTCTAACCTGCTCTGATACCATATTGGGAAATGCTGACTGCCATTAATGAGGCTAAAGCTTGAATAAGAAACAAAGCAGCTAAACTTTAGAAATTCAGCAAAAGGTTTCTTATCATTAGAATAAAAATGGTAGGCTAGAAAGCTATTACATTTATAGGCTTATCTAAAACCTAAAAGTCTAGCTAGGGTTTTCCTAGTGACCAACGGTTGAGATGATGATCAAGGGCTCTAAAGGCCTAGCAAAGAATCTCAATGGTACAGTGACAGCTCACCATGCAGCCATGCAAGACAAAAATAGTGCAAGGGAAAAACCGAGAGGTAAAAAGTAAAATCAGGTGCATGTGTTCTTGGAGTTCTTCTTTTTGTTAGTATTGCTTTCACACATGAATTTCGAATGAGGGATTCAAGATATATCATGCAATGGAGGTTCCCGATTATCATAAATGATCGAGCCGTGGATGACGGTGCATTTTTTTTATAATGTAGTTTAACTGACGGCTCCAGTTACAGAAATTTATTTCCGTCAATGCCATGTCAAAGTTCTATAAACAGAGCCGTCAATCATGATCCGATTTGCAAATAAAAATAAAAATGATGTATTAAATTTATAAATTGCAACAGTGGTGACTAAATTATAAAAACATGAATTGTAGTGTATTAATATGCATTTCACCTTATATAATATAAAAGAAAAAAAAATGGGCTATAGTTTTTCGTCAAAATTACTTGCTATTAAAATAAAATTCACTAGCCGTCATTTTTAAGTTAACTTCTTTTTTCCCTTTAATTTTTTTTTTTTTTTTTTTTTTTTTTTTTTTTTTTTTTTTTTT